GTCAAAAATGCCTTAGACGCCTCTATTGGAGCGTTTGCATTTGAGTTTAAACACCCCCGAGGTGCGTCTGGATGCTGTGGACAAATGGGAGAAAAATACATGACACACGTCTGTTGCCCTGGAAACAAATGTCCGGTCCCGGTCTGGTTTAAAAACACACAGGACTCCCTAGATGAGCATCAACATGGACTTTGTATATAAACTGGACACTTTGACACTCTGGTCTGAACGAGTCTTTAGTGACTTTGTATTGTACTGTTCATTTACTTCACATCTGGTGATGGTCTGACACCACTGAAGCCACAGCTGCCTTGGGGCAAATCTGCACCTTCAGCTCCTCCAACCCCTCCAACACACACACCAACACACGCCACATTCACACTGGGCACAGTGGGGAAGTTCTCCTTGAGGTCTCCCATCCAAGTCCCTGCCCAGCCCTGGTCTGGTCTGATCTGATCTGGTCTGATCTGCTTCAGGGGTTTTCAGGCTCTTCACACCAGATCGATGTTTAAATGTTCAGACTGAAAGTAACTGCAGGTCAAAGTGAAGAGGACCAGGTGATGACCAACTGATCTCTGTTCATTATGTAAGTATTGATCACTGCAAACATCAGGGTCTAGGTTTCGTTTAGATCGTTTAGTTTCACGAGTCTCCAGGAAACGTACGGTGTGTTTGTGTCCTGATCCAAACAGCTTCTGCTGTTTGTTTGTCTGTGTTTGTTTGCAGTGGGGTCTGGTCTGCTCCTGGATGCCGCTCAGACAGATGATCCAGACCATCTACATGGGAGGGGTCCTCACCGGGGCCATCGTCTTCGGGGGGCTCTCAGACAAGTGGGTACCTCCAAACACACACCCCACGGCTCTGAAAGACACCGCCAGGGTCTACAAGTCTGGACACACACTCTCATTCCACATTTGCTTCTTTTTTTCTACGTTCTACATTTTATAAATGTAAAGAAAACATCAGATGTACGTATGGAGTAAGAAAACTTTCAGAAAAATGTATGTACATAGGATAGAAGTCTGGTTTGACCCGAGTGTGAAGCATCTGGGATGAAGATCAGCTCCTCCAAGTCCGAGGTCGCGGTTCTGGACCTGAAAAAGGCGTCTTGTCGTCTCCAGGCGGGTGGAGAGTCTCTGCCTCAAGTGGAAGAGTTCAAGTCTGTCGGGGTCTTGTTCTGGAGTGAGGGGAGGACGGAGCGAGAGATTGACAGGTGGACAGGTGCAGCGTGGGCAGATTGACAGGTGGACAGGTGCAGCGTGGGCAGATTGACAGGTGGACAGGTGCAGCGTGGACAGTGATGCGGTCGCTGTATCGGACCGCTGTGGTGAAGAGGAGCTGAGTCCAAAGGCAAAGCTCTCGATTTAAGCATCAGTCTCCGTCCCTCCCCTCACCTCTGGTCATGACCCGAAGGTCGAGGTCGCTGATGCAAGTGGCACAAATGAGTTTCCTCCGCTGCTCCTCCACGTGGAGAGGAGCGTCTGAGGGGAGGACATCTGTTCTGATGTCTCCTGGACGTCTCCCTCAGGAGGTGTTCATGTCTCACTGGAGGGACTATGTCTCTGGACTGGGAACACCTCAGGGTTCCCCAGAGGAGCTGGAGGAAGTGTCTGGGGTGAAGGAAGTCTGGGAGTCCCTGTTCAGACTGATGCCCCCGAGACCCGACCCCAGAGAAGAAGAAGAACATGGACGGATGGATAAAAATCTGTACATATTTGTCTGTAGTTGAGCATAAAATAAATATTCATAAACTCTGGAATGAGTCCAGTTGAACATCAAATATATTGTGTGTATTTATCATCAGAAAACAAACATCCATCATCACTTTTCAGTCTGATGATAAAATCCACACAACACATTTTAAGTACGACTCAACTCATTATTTATTTTATGCTCAACTACAGACAAATCTGCACAGATTTCTGTCCTATGAACATGAATATTTTAACAAAAACTTATGGCCAAAATCTACATTTTTGTGTGACACTTAAAATGAAATAACAGTTTAAAGTTGTGAACGACACCACAGCACAGATCCGACTGTACAGATCGGACTTTTATGGTGTTCTGTTCTGCAGGTTTGGGCGGAAGTTGATCCTTATTTGGTCAAACCTGCAGCTGGCGGTGTTGGGCTGCGTCTGCGCTCTGTCTCCGTCTTACTCCACCTACTGCATCCTCCGCTTCCTCAGCGGCATGGCCGTGTCCGGAATCATCATCAACGGAGTCTCACTCAGTAAGAACGAAACGAAACGAAACTCTGAGACGATTCTAAAGAATTTCTCCTGTACAGTAAATGTTTCTGGATTGAAGTGTTGATCATCCTACCTCCAGTGAACTTTGTAAACTTCTGTCTTCTGTCTGGTGTCCAGAGGTGGAGTGGATCCCGACAAAGCAGCGGACGATCGTGGGGACCCTGTCGTCCTTCTTCTTCACGGTGGGGCAGTTGGTGCTGGCGGGTTTGGCCTACTGGCTCAGGGACTGGAGGAAGCTGCAAGTCGCCGTCTGTCTGCCTCATTTCCTTTTCTTCGCCTGGGCCTGGTTGGTTGTTCTCAGTCTTGATGTTCTGTGCTGTTCTCCTGCTGAAGGTGGTTCCGTGTGTTCAGGTGGTACAGTGAGTCGGCGCGTTGGCTCATATTCAACAGACGCACAGAAGACGCTCTGAAGTCTCTGCAGCGCGTGGCAAGATTCAACGGCAAAAAGGAGATGGCCCAGAAGCTCACGGTGCAGGTACGAGGGTCAGAACACAGACGTGTGAGAACGAGAACATCAAAACTAGAAAAACGCAGAGGCTTGAGTACGTGGGGGTTGTATAGAAGCTCGTAGTCCAGTCTGGCGCCCCCTGTCTGTCGCTGTTAGAATAAGTTGACCTCTGAGCTGGAGTCTGTGATGCAGATGTTGGAGGATCACATGAAGAAGGAGATGGAGTCGCAGAAGACCACGCACATGGCTGCGGACCTGGTCCGGACCAGAGTCATGCGTCGGATCTCAGTGTGTATGGTGATCATCTGGTGAGAGCCGCACTCTGACCTCAGAGCAGCTCCTCAGGCCACAGTACTGACCACACTTCTGTCCGGCAGGTTCGCCACGTCCTTCGCCTATTACGGCATCGCCATGGACCTGCAGAAGTTTGGGGTGAGGCCAGAGATGGACCAGGATCATGTGACATAGACTTACACTGTGCCCCTCCTCCACAGGTGAGCATCTACCTGATCCAGGTGATCTTCTGTGCCGTGGACTTCCCGGCCAAGTTCCTGGCTCTGGGCATGCTCAGTGTGGTGGGGCGGAGGATCACTCAGGGCACCTGTCTGTTCGTGTCGGCATTCGTCATCTTCGCCAACATCCTGGTGCCCAGAGGTCAGGTCCTGTGACACTCTCAGACTGCGTAGGCCCAGAGCTCCCTGTCACACTAAACTCAATTTATGGTCGTGTGTCAAACCGTCTGCGTCACCGTGACCCCCCCTCCGCAGACCTGACACAGACAGTAAGGACTGTGATTGGTCGTCTCTAGATCCTCTCTACATTTCCTGTTCTCCACTTTCACACTTCACTTTGTAAACATGAAAACCAGTTTTAAATGGTCGTCTCCTGGTGTTGTGACGGTGAATCACTGTGCAGTGTATAGTTTCAGAGTAGGTTCAGTGTAGTTAGCTCCTCCTTCAGACAGAAATGAGGAAGTGTCACCAGAGTCTGACAGAACTGAAGAAGCAGCTTGGACGAACTGAGAAACGTTTTCAACCAAATAAAGTTTTGTCCAGTCGACAAACTGAGTTTCTTCTTTGTCGTGGATTTTACCTGAACGACTGAGGAATTTTACACAAATATAACTGAAAGTGTTTGTTTGTTTCAGAGATGCAGACGCTCAGGACGAGTCTGGCCTGTTTAGGAAAAGGCCTCATGTCGGCCTCCTTCACCACCGTCTACCTGTACACTGGAGAACTCTACCCCACCACCATCAGGTACTCCCCACCACCATCAGGTACTCCCCACCACCATCAGGTACTCCCCACCACCATCAGGTACTCCCCCACCACCATCAGGTACTCTCCCAACACCATCAGGTACTCCCCCACCACCATCAGGTACTCCCCACCACCATCAGGTACTCCCCACCACCATCAGGTACTCCCCCATCACCATCAGGTACTCTCCCAACACCATCAGGTACTCTCCCAACACCATCAGGTACTCCCCCACCACCATCAGGTACTCCCCACCACCATCAGGTACTCCCCATCACCATCAGGTACTCCCCCACCACCATCAGGTACTCCCCACCACCATCAGGTACTCTCCCAACACCATCAGGTACTCCCCCATCACCATCAGGTACTCCCCACCACCATCAGTACTCCCCATCCATCAGGTACTCCCCCACCACCATCAGGTACTCCCCACCACCATCAGGTACTCTCCCCCACCACCATCAGGTACTCCCCCCACCATCAGGTACTCCCCATCACCATCAGGTACTCCCCCACCACCATCAGGTACTCCCCACCACCATCAGGTACTCCCCACCACCATCAGGTACTCCCCCACCACCATCAAGTACTCCCCACCACCATCAGGTACTCCCCACCACCATCAGGTACTCCTCCATCACCATCAGGTACTCCCCCATCACCATCAGGTACTCCCTCAGCAGCAGGGGGCGCACACAGACTCATAAACACTTACAGAGGCTTTTCCACAGCAGCAATAAAATGTCGGTCGTTTGCATAAAACGGAGAAACAAACTGTAAAGTCTAAATCCAGGGCATCTGATGTAAACATGTGTGTGTTGTGTGTGTGTGTGTGTGTGTGTGTGTGTGTGTGTGTGTGTGTGTGTGTGTGTGTGTGTGTGTGTGTGTGTGTGTGTGTGTGTGTGTGTGTGTGTGTGTGTGTGTGTGTGTGTGTGTGTGTGTGTGTGTGTGTGTGTGTGTGTGTGTGTGTGTGTGCTGGTGTGTGTGTGTGTGTGTGTGTGTGTGTGTGTGTGTGTGTGTGTGTGTTGTGTGTGTGTG